GCCAGGTAATGAAACGTTTGCAAGAAAAGAACCAAGCTCAGAGAACCCCAAGGACTCCACAGTTCAACCCTGAGCTACACATATTCGCCTCTTTTGGAACTAGGGAGGATCATGTCTGAGAAGCTTTCTAAAATTACATTTCTGCCCTGGACTCAGATTTCTTTTATCTAACCATTGCCTTGGTTGTGGCTCTTCCTCCTGTTCCTCAAGGTTATTCCTACTGCCCATTATGCAACCAGAGGGGAGGAGGTGTAGCTCTCAGCAACCTAAAGTGGCCAGTAGGACCTGAGCAGATCCCAACTCCTGAATGCATCAACAACCATGTTATCAATGAAGCATGCCAGATCAGGCTGACAGCCAAAGTTATGTTGAGAGAAGAGAAAAAATACTACTCTAAAATGGAATAGGCTCCCTCAGATATTAAATATGAATGAGACAGACAACATCATGAGACATGGCAGAAAAAAAGAAGTAACTGGGTCATATTCATGCAATAGTTAGAGAACTGTGAAGAAGCTGTCCTGGCTTAACACCTACCTCAGCCCCAAGTAATGCCATTTCAAAGGCAAGTGTGGCCCTCAGACTGAACAAAGTTGTGCATTTATGTTGTGAGGGCTCTTAAGACATGAGGACACTTTTCCAAACTTTGCTTTCCACTGGCTATTGCCTACCTGCCTGCCTGCCTTCCTTCTTTCCTTCCTCATAGATATTAAATCACAGCTCTAATCTTTGCCACTCTCAGGAGAAAGTGACAAAGCACCAGAAAACAAAAATGAAACTTACCTGGTGGTCTGACAATAAGAAGAGGATTATCTGTAAGGAAATAACAAGGAAATGCTTAAATGATTTACAATAAGAATCAACATCCACAATAGCTAAGATAATGTAGATGCTAAACATTTTTATAAGGATAGCTACAAGTAATTTCTGAATCTTCTCATTTATTTATATAACTTACATCCTGCCTAATTTCACAAACTCTGAATGGCTCACACAGAATATCATAAATATAAAAATAATTAATTAAAGCAAACAAGCATAATTAAAAACAGCATAACATGCTTCAAAAGCTTGACAAAACAGCAACATTTTTACCACCTTCCTACACTGAAAAAATGTAGGGGCTTCAAGGGAAAATTATGGTATGCTCCCACTCCTCTAACATCTCTGACGAAGGAGACCTGAAGCACTGCTGCCCTTAGTCATTTCTCCAAATATTTTAGGACTTACAATCATTAAACATCATCTCCTTTCCCTGCTCCTCCTTCTCTTCTTCTTTTAAAGTCTCTACATTATACCAGTGTTTGTACCTGTGAGACCCCTTGCTGCATCACACTTGCCATCTTTTATTGTTATTTTTTGTTTTATTGATTTTATTGTAATTTCTTTGTTTGTTGTGAACTGCCCAGTTGTTTAGAGTCGGGCAGCATACAAGTTTAATAAATTATTTATTAAATTATTATTTATTATGGTTGGTTGCGCAGTCAGCCAGATGTTTAGAGTGGGTTTGGCATTTTTATCCATCTATCAAGTCCTTATCAAGGACCTGGGATAGGCAGATGTTGTTGTTTGATGGTGTTAAAGGTATCGTTATTATTTATGATTATTACTTCTATTTTTTGACAATGAAATTTCCATATCTGCAGATTTCACTGCCAGAGATGGTAATCATGGTTACACAGGCTAATAGAAAGGAGAGGGTCTTTTTTTAAGTGCTTGTATTAAAATTATTTATTTATTCAATTTCTGTAGCCGCCCATCTCAGACAAATGACTCCGGGTGGCAAACAATCATAAAAAGAGTTAAAACCAATACAAACATAATACAAAAATAATTCTACGTCTATGGAGCCTTGCATTTAAAAACTATTTTGTTTTCTAGAGCGTTTTTTAAAAACACACACACAAGGCTTGCATTCATTGACCCCAACTGCTCATGATAAAGAAAATGGCTTCTTTGATTATTTTGAATTATTATTTGAATTATTATTTTGAATCATAACGGGCAGCATTTTAATTATTAAAATACTGCAGCTAGCCTTAGCTGATATACGGCCTGTAAACATTGTCTTTGACTATAAAAATTGCATTTATTACAGTTGATAGAAAATGGGCAACCGGCCTTAAAATTGTACCTTAATATAATTTTGATATACATCTACAACTAGTTCAGCAGAATTACTTTTCAGTAAAAGCTTATTTTAAAAGTTCCTTTTAATCAATCTAAATAACATAGGTATCTGTAGGCTCCCGGTGCTTTCATGAAGATTAGGGGAACAGCATCACCCCTCCATGCTGCAAACTCTGTCCCTTTTCATGTGCCTGTGACACGACTGTGCATGTCCAAAAGGGGCAGGGCTTGCATTGCAATGGTGTAATTGCTGTTTTTGTCAAGTCGGCCTGTTGATTCCCTTGCGATGCTGCTGCTTACTAATTAAGGCTTCAACTGACTTTGTCCAGAAATCAATGTGGGAGCACTCAATTGGACATTATTTTTACATCTTACACATGCAAGCACTCCTACTCTAAATCCATAACAAGAACTGTTGGGTTGATTTGAGAGGTCTTTAAAAAAAAAAAAAAAGAGGCAGACTTTTTGAAGGATAGATATGTATATGAATTCCAAGTTAGGAACCTGGGAATCTAAGAGTAGGAAGAAGAATAACAACCTTGGAGTTATCCAGAGCTAGTTAAGGGATCAACTCATCATATTTGTTATTACATTGCGCCAAAGGATCTATGACCAATCATCCAAGTAAAAATTACATGGAAAAAATACGTCTTTAGCAAGCCATATTTTAAAATCATTTAAAAGCCTTTAACCTCAAAGAACAGAGTCAGCTTTATGAAATGAAAACAAGCTTCAGCTGAGAAGGGGAGAAATTTAAATGAAAATTTGTTTCCCAGTCTTTTTTGCAGACACAATTGCTTCCAACCGCTCAGCTGCTCAGGATTTTAAAAAAAGAAAGAAAAACTAATGTGAAGTGTCTTGCCAAGCAAGCAACAGAAACTGAATTTCTTCTTTTCATTTTTTAATTTAACTTCCTTTTTCCCATTATCAGGGTAAAAGTTAAAGGTAAACTTTCCTTTGTGCTGAGTTTGACCCCTGCTGACCAAATGGAAACATCCATGTAGTCTTCTTGAGAACAGAAGTGGTCTGCTATTCCCTTTCTTCATCATCAGACTAGCAAAGACTAAATCCACATTGAGCAACTTGAGATGCTATTAGAAAACATTGAAGTTGGCTCTCTGAATTAGAAAGAGCTGAAGCACAAACTCACTCCTGTTTGGCTGGAGAGGATCAGCACTTCATCATTTTGTTTTTCTTAGTTCAGTTCTTAACCCAGCCCTCCCCAACTGGGCACTGTCCAGATGTGTAAGCCTCAAATCCCAGAATTCTTCACAATAGCCATTCTGGCTGGAGAAGCTTGGAAATAAACCTACACATCTGGAGGAAGCTCAGGTTGGGGAAGCCTATCTTAAATCTTTGTTTCCCAACATTCCCCACAATCCTCCTCCTCCTCCTCCTCCTCCTCCTCCTCCTCCTCCTCCATATTCTTCTTCTTCTTCTTCCCCTCTGAGATGAAGTGTTTTTGGCTTTTTTGGGGGGGGGGTATGACATCTTTTCAGGTTTTGAGGAGCGCAATCCCTGCTCCTTTTTCGTTTTCAAGGCTAAACCTTCTAATTCCTTCAATTTCCTTTCATCAGAATTACTGTTTAGTCCCCTGATCATCCCTGTTGCTTTTTGCTGTTTTACTCTGTAATTTTAATACAAATTGGACGCTTGTGCTCTAATTTCCAGTTCAAAATTTGTTTTATATTATAATATTATATTAAACCACCATACCAGATTCAGTGACATAGGAGATGGATGAACTTATAGGACCATAACCATAAGGGTTCGTCGCTTGGACTTTAAAGTAATACCTAAATCAAGGAAAGAGAGAAAACAAGCAATTATTAAAATGCCAGCATATCCATAATAACAGCTTGCGGTAATAAAGTTAAACAAATTTCAAACAGGCTTTAGAAGGAATGCTGAAAAGTTCCACAGAAGCTATTAACATACACCTTGGTTTTTGGGTCATTTCTAATGATGGCTTCATCCAAAATGTTTCATTCAGTCATGAAACCATGCAAGAACCAACAGAACTTGAAAGTGAGCAAAGAGCCAACAGTGGTGAAACACAATAGGCGAATTGTTTAAATTATCCAGCATTATCTTAAGCACAATGTTTGTTTTTTGTGAAATCACTTGATATAGACAGATGGAAGTCATCAAATGTTAAACAGCCATATTAAATTCTGTGGCATGGAACATCTATGAATTAGGCCATACTTTCCTTGGAAGGAAACATATCAATATCCTCCCAAAGAGTTGGGGGCAAAAGAAAAATCTGGTGAATAAAAATAGCCTTCTGCATATCCCTTGTATTGCATATAAAAGGCACCTTGTAAATTTGACTGGTTCCAATTTTGGGCCTGATTTAATAGCAATTCTGAGCTGGAAAGATAAACTGTATCTGAAATCTGGTTTAAACTGAGCCCTTGGTTGCTCTATATGCACTGTTCGCTAACCAGGGCACATGCAGCCAACACACTTGGTGTGAATGAAATTCTAAATGTATCCATCTATCCATCCATCCATCCATCCATCCATCCATCCATCCAGGATCTCTGGAC